TCTGCAAGATTGTAAACATTATTGGCAACATTATTTTTAAAAATTCCAAACCAATATACATCTCTTGTTTTTGTTTCTTTATGAAGAGCGTCAGCTCGAATTCCAATAAGTGAAGCTATTCTTTTCATTTGAAGTTTAATGGATCCTTTCAAACTTTCTCCAACCGAGGATACTGCCTATAGCATAAAACTAAAAGGGAATAATATATGCTGATATCATGTGAATTAGCATCTAAAACTTTATATTGACCTCATTATAATCTCCATCATCACTGTATGATTCGTCAGACAGTTCTCCCGGCTCTTCATCTGTATTGTCTTCTTCTCCATCACCTTTCTTTTCCTTTCCTTCTTTGCCTGGATCCTATCAAGTAGGGACATGAAACAATTACCACTAAGAATCTATTGAGGCAAACAAGCATCCATAATGAGAAAGATTTGCAAAACACAAAAGAACATTTCAAGGTAAACTTTTTATCAGCTAAAAGCTAAAGAGAAAAAGAAAGCAGAGAACGAATTGATCCGAGTTCCAAGAGGTTCAGAAGCAATTCGTCCGAAGTCCAAAATATATGTGCACATGAGACATGCTTGGGACAATTTACCTCAAAACCCTGTTCAAATTTCTCGAACATATCTAATTTCTCCAAGCCTGTGCACAAATAAGAAAAATATAAATTAGTTAAAAGAAAAATGTATATCAGTTTAACTAAAGAATCATTTTGTAAGGCACCTTTTGTTTTACAAAGAACAAAGAGAAAACATCTAATTCTAGACAAATAAGTGATTTCATTCTTGTAGTGAAGACTCCAAAGACCAGTCATTAAGACTGGTGCATTCACCAAAGCTTCAACGTAACAAACTAAAGGCATCAGAACTACATCAATCTGAATGCTGCCAGAAACAAGTTGAAACAAGAATTTACTCAATAAAGCTAGCCAGTTTGATAGCTTGGGGGGAAACCAGAATATGTTAAAAGATGTAGCTACTCTTACTATGCCATTGGGTAGAAAATCACTTGACAATGATGGTTAGCACAAAAGTTAGGTTGCTCCATTCTGACTTGGAGGTTATGGGTTCAAGTTAGAAAGAAAAAAACAAATATACTCTTGTTTGCACATTGAGAAAACGAAAACAAATGGGATAGAACATATCATTCAAAATCATTCACTTTTCTACTTCAAACTATCATTTGCTCACAATGGTCCTACTCTGAAGTCATTGCAAAGAAAATCTTATATTCTGAAATAAATTACAAGAATGTAGTTAAACATGGTTGCCTAGCCCATTAAACATCTCTATAGTGGTGTCGTGGCTGCTAACTTAGTGACTATAGAATCACTTTCAAGATTAGTAATTCCCTGTGTATCATATAAACATGAAAAAGGCTGAAATTGAAATGTTCAACTTCAAAAACTAATGTCCATTAAAGGAATTCATTTGCTGTCTATTACTCCATGCAACAAATATATAATATAAAATACCCAAAAACAAGTATGCATAAGACATGATTTCTTGTCCAACCTGAGTCTAGATTCCATCGCATCTTTTTGGCACTTCGCTGAGCTCTCCTTGAATCTGAGATTCACTATTCAATTAGACTGAACCAGCAAAGAAAGAGAAAGATAAAAGCTAAAGTATTACAGACATTGTCTTGAATACCAAGTCAATATTTGCATAAGTTGTTTCAATTGCGAACCTCCAATCAATTCTTTAGGAAAATTATGAGATTGGAGTTGTAGAATCTGGCTAAGACTATCGCGTTTTGAGGTGCTCTTTGGCTTCTCCCTGTCAGAATATCTTTCTATGTCCATACTCTGGCTTTCTAAAATCACATTCAGGAAAAAAAATAAGTTTAATATAATTAAATATATGAGCTATAAATTTGCAGCAATATTAATAAAAGCAAGAAGCCGAGAGCCAATTGATGCAGCTGGCAAAATGGGGAAAGTCAAGAACCAAAAATATAAGATTACATCAAAGAAAATTGGCAATTTTGACAAATTTGGCATATGTGGCACAAAATAACACTAGATTTCGAAGTCATCAATCAAGCATAATAATGAACAATGCAATGGTGTGAAACTAATATTTATAATAATGGCAAAACATAATGCACATGTGGTCTTGGGATATAAAATGCAGAAATCCTAGGCATATCTCTAGAAACATTGGGATGGGAAAGTTCCTCTGAGGCATATTTCTGTAAACAGTTTGAGAATACAGGACAATCACTGCACTGAAATCATTGCAGAAATAGTATAATGATGACACAGATAGACATTAGGCATACAATGTAAAGGCAATAAGAGGTTTAATTCAATGTGTTTACAACTATGAAATTTGCTACCAACTCTAACTAATCAAAAGCTATGTTTTGAAGTCTAGATAGATTCTAGAGAGTTTCAAAGACTCACTCTTTGAAACATTTTCTTCAAGATAGTAAGGAGAGGCTTTCCAATAGTTTTGCAACCTTGAATTC